GTTGCCATCCTAGCATTTTCTACATTAAGCTCCTCTTGGGCATTAGATACCTCATCTCGTACTTTGGCAATTTCTGCGTTGCGTTCAGCTTGATTCGCCGCAGTAACCTCTGTTGCTAGCAAAGTCATCAAGTTGCCCAAGAGATCAGACAAGACCTGAGCCGGCGATGGAACTGAGCTGCCAGCCCCAGCAGCGGCCGAACTCGACGTCATAGCTGCAGTCGTTGATGAATTGTGAGTCGGCCCAGTGCCAGCCATGAAGATCACAACTCTAGATGGCGGCTCATAGGGGTCCGGAATACTGTTGCCATCGGAATAGCCTTCAAGCCCGCCATCTTGAAGCTGGTAGATTGACTCCGTCTCTCCGGTTGAGGACTCATCACCTGAGTAGATGGTCGTCTCTCCTCTGGATTCAGGACCTTCCGCAAGCTCCATGCCTTGCGTGAAACCGACGAAAACGTGCTTCCGGTCGGGTTGAATCCGGGCGGGTTGCACGCGCCGAGGTGACTCGATGAGGTCGGTGGAGATGTCTGGCTCAGGCTCAGATTCGCAGATCTTGCCAATGAAGACGTGAATTCCGCTGAAGGGGACCCAGAACCCGTACTCGATTGAGTCGGCCTGGGGGCCCCAGCCAGCGTCATCGATATAGAGCTTGCCGAGGCGACTCTTAGTCATCCGTCCCATGGCGTATCCCTCGATCCCTGGGAAAGTGCCCTTCAAGAACTCAAAACCACCATGCTCTAGCCCCACGGTGGGCACCAATTGTCGTGGTTTTGTCACGGCAGATGTCCTAGTGAAAGGACTTAAGCATGGAGCCATCACAATGTAGGTTAGCTCGAAGGGGTTGAACGGGACGAGGGACGCAAGTTTACCCAGGTTGGGCCCCTCATAACGAGGTAAAAGCCTACATCCTTCTTTTAGTTGTATTGCTTGAGTATCGATTACAAGGGAGCGAGATCGCTTGACCTAGCTATCGATTGATTGCTCCTTCGCCTAACCCGCCGTAGGGTCCCGCCTTTATATACACAGGCCGAGGCCTTGAGGCTTACAAGAGTCCAAATTCGATCACACAACGTGACCAACTCGGTTTCTAAGTTGTCGTGTCTTGCTAGACAAGTCGCCATCGTGGCGGCTCACACCTTCCGGGTCATGATTCCACCGCCAGGTCTCGGGCCTTCAAAAGGCCCACCTTGTAAGCCGCCACCGGTCTTCATGTTTCATCTTTCTGGACCTACTTGAGCTTTCTCTTGTAGAGTCGCCAACGGTGTAACCTGGCCCCTTCTGGGCGGGTCACACCGCGGGGTTATATCCCCAACAGTAGATGTCCTCGTGAAAGGACTTAGTGGTGAGGCCATCACAACTAGGTAGTAGCTTGAACGGGGTTGGTTGGAATCAAGAGACACGAGTTTTACCCACGTTCGGCCCCTCACAATGGAGATAAAAGCCTACATCATGCTTGATTTCTATTGATGATCATGGTCTCGATTACAAGGGCGCTATTTCACTGCCTCTGTCTTGAGAGCTATCAAAATATATGTCTCGAGACCTACCAAAATGTTTGTCTTGAGACTTGTTTGTGTTGGGGAACGTAGTAATTTCAAAATTTTCCTACGCACACGCAAGATCATGGTGATGCATAGCAACGAGAGGGGAGAGTGTGATCTACGTACCCTTGTAGATCGACAACGGAAACGTTAGCACAACGTGGTTGATGTAGTCGTACGTCTTCACGGTTCGACCGATCCAAGCACCGTTACTCCGGCACCTCCGAGTTCTTGGCACACGTTCAGCTCGATGACGATCCCCGGGCTCCGATCCAGCAAAGCGTCGGGGAGGAGTTCCGTCAGCACGACGGCGTGGTGACGATCTTGATGTTCTATCGTCGCAGGGCTTCGCCTAAGCACCGCTACAATATGACCAAGGTGGAATATGGTGGAGGGGGCACCGCACACGGCTAAGGAACGATCACTAAGATCAACTTGTGTGTCTAGAGGTGCCCCCTGCCCCCGTATATAAAGGAGCAAGGGGGAGGGGGCGGCCGGCCTAGGAGGGGGCGTGCCAAGGGGAGTCCTACTCCCACCGGGAGTAGGACTCCTTCCTTCCTTGTTGGAGTAGGAGAAGGGGAAAGGGGGGGAGAGGAAGAAGGAAAAGGGGGCTGCGCCCCTTGTCCAATTCGGACCAGAGGGGGGGCGCAGGCCTCCTTCCTTTTGGCCTCTCTCCTCTATTCCCGTATGGCCCAATAAGGCCCATATACTCCCCGGCGAATTCCCGTAACTCTCCGGTACTCTGAAAAATACCCGAATCACTCGGAACCTTTCCAATGTCCGAATATAGTCATCCAATATATCGATCTTTACATCTCGACCGTTTCGAGACTCCTCGTCATGTCCCCGATCTCATCTGGGACTCCGAACTCCTTCGGTACATCAAAACTCATAAACTCATAATATAACTGTCATCGAAACCTTAAGCGTGCGGACCCTACGGTTCGAGAACAATGTAGACATGACCGAGACATGTCTCCGGTCAATAACTAATAGCGGAACCTGGATGCTCATATTGGCTCCTACATATTCTACGAAGATCTTTATCAGTCAGACCGCATAACAACATACGTTGTTCCCTTTGTCATCGGTATGTTACTTGCCCGAGATTCGATCGTCGGTATCTCAATACCTAGTTCAATCTCGTTACCGGCAAGTCTCTTTACTCGTTCCGTAATACATCATCTCACAACTAACTCATTAGTTGCAATGCTTGCAAGGCTTTATGTGATGTGCATTACCGAGAGGGCCCAGAGATACCTCTCCGACAATCGGAGTGACAAATCCTAATCTCAAAATATGTCAACCCAACATGTACCTTTGGAGACACCTGTAGAGCACCTTTATAATCACCCAGTTACGTTGTGACGTTTGGTAGCACATAAAGTGTTCCTCCGGCAAACGGGAGTTGCATAATCCCATAGTCATAGGAACATGTATAAGTCATGAAGAAAGCAATAGCAACATACTAAACGATCGGATGCTAAGCTAATGGAATGGGTCATGTCAATCAGATCATTCACCTAATGATGTGATCCCGTTAATCAAATAACAACTCTTTGTCCATGGTTAGGAAACATAACCATCTTTGATTGACGAGCTAGTCAAGTAGAGGCATACTAGTGACACTCTGCTTGTCTATATATTCACACATGTATTATGTTTCCGGTTAATACAATTCTAGCATGAATAATAAACATTTATCATGATATAAGGAAATAAATAATAACTTTATTATTGCCTCTAGGGCATATTTCCTTCAGTTTGTCTATCTTGACGTGTCCCTCTTGGGGTGCCCTGCCCCTCCTTATATAAGTTGAAGGGGTTGGCTTACATGTAGAGTCCTAGTAGGATTAGGACTAGTCTATTCAGGCTTCTTGTCACGGGCTTCTTGTCGTGGGCGACTCATCGAGGGCTTCTTACCGCGTCTCATCTTCGGGACTCATCTTCGGGGCGACTCGTCTTCAGGGCGGCTTATCTTTCGGGCATCTTAAGTCTGGAGATGACTTTAAGTCTAGAGACGACTTGAGACGACTTTAAGTCCAAAGATGACTTGAAATGACTTTAAGTCTAGAGATGACTTATCGTCAGAGATAACCCCATCGATGACTTGAGACGTCTTAAGTCCAGACATGACTTGAGATGACTTTAAGTCCAGAGATGACTTATCGTCAGAGATAACCCCAGAGATGACTTGAGACGTCTTAAGTCCACAGATGATTTGAGACGTCTTAAGTCCACATATGGCTTATCTTCAGAGATGACTTATCCTAGAGCCGGGTCTTGGTCGTGGGGAATATCCCCAACACACTCCTTGCCGAGGGCAGAAGAAACCATAGTAGACAAAGTTGTGTTGTGAGTCGGTGAAGACCTTGTGGCTCGTTGTCTCGGATCATCCCACGCTCTTCATGCACCTTGCTATCTCATGTTGTGGCTATCTTCTGGACCGGGTAGCTGTTGTCGCACTCGAAGAAGACAACACTTGTGATCATGTTGCATCTAGAATAAATCCTTTGATCCCCATCATGTCGTGGGATCACGACGACGGGATCGAAGCACACAAGCCTCCACAAAGTTGCCACTACACCGACCATGCTTGACCACCAAACCTACCAAATCCATGTCAGAGAAGGATTTGGAAGCACTTTATTCATTGATAACATCGCTCTCACCGGAGCAGAATCCATGGTCGATCGAAACCCTAAGCAAACTAGTCCTAGACTAATACTATACAAGATAAGCATGGGGTTTAGGGTTTGGCCTCCTTCGCCCATCCTGCCAATGATCAGAAGTCATCAGGGGAGGAGAGCCGCTGGAGACAACATCGGCAAACAATGACTAGTGTAATTTTACCTTTTTTCTCTAGGGATTTGGGGAAGGGAAAAAAGCCATGCGGTTTCAGCATACCTGTACAATTTATGCTGGCTAACGGAAGATGCCGTACTCCTTGTCAAATTCGATACCATACTCAAACACGAATCGTACTCCTTGTCAAATTCGAGACCATACTCAAACATGAATTTTGTACAGTTTTGCTAAAGCACATCTAGATGTGCCATTAGTATTGCATATCTAAGTCCCTTGGTCAAATTTACATTTCACATTATTTATATGCTCAACTTGGAAGAAAAGAAGCATCAAGGAAAAAACTTAAAATAAAAGAGTACAAAATCGTTCCTCTTCTCCATCTACTCCACCAAACCCCCATCCCCATCTCTCCTCCCCTAGGCTCGCCTTCGCCGTCGGTCGGGCTCCCTCTCCGACACGCCGCCGTCGATACATCCACCCGAGGTATCTACATCTCTACCCCTCCCCGTCTTTCCAGGCGGGTGGATCTGCTTGCCTAACCCTATGGATAGCGGGATCCCTCCGCCCTGTTGAAATTTCCACCCGTATTCCCTGCTGCGTCTGTCGAGATCGCTCAGGCACTGATGCGATTTGGTATTGATTGGCAGGCATGGCGACGGCGTTCAAGGCGTTCGTGAACAGCCCCGTCGGCCCCAAGACCACCCACTTCTGGGGCCCCGTCGCTAACTGGGGCTTCGTCCTCGCGGTACGCACTCCGTCGATTCTGCATCTTGTTTCTTCCTTACAAAACCTGTGCAATTGGTCGATTGCAACAACGAGAATATTGTAATTTCCCACTGTGGCGGTGTTATCTAGGCGAAGATTTTGCAATCTACCGAGAGAATCTGAGTCCTGTCCCTTTCTTGGGGCTGTATGATTAATGTACATGTATCAGGAAATTGGTTCTGCTTGACGAACATCTCCTAGATAGTTTGTTTTAGGATGCTACAGTGGGAGCTCTTAAAGAAAAAGGATCTTAGTTATTATTCTGTCAAGTATCGTATATAAAGTGAATTTCAGGTTGGAAAGATGATGTTCAATGATTAACCAACCTCTTTGGGTCAATGTATCTGTAAAAACTATACGTGTAGATGTTGTTAGTTGTGACAGTAATATGTATGGATTTATGAGTCTTTTGGGGTGCTTGACGACTGCTTATGGAGCTAAACATGAGCAATTTGTTGCATCATGATATATTTTTCCGATGGTTAATAGTAATATGCATTAGTGTTGGTGAACCTATAAAATTGTTTATCCTTCATATACACCACCTTGGAATTGTTCATGACTGTCACGTAAAGAGATGTGACACATTAACACATTCATTTAAGTGTATATATCAATGTGGGAGTATTTTCTCCGGAAGTATGGATTAGGCCTCCGTAATTGAATAATCTTCTTATGCTCTACCTTGATTTTATTCATCCTTAGTGGACATCGGGTCAGTATCATGTATAAATCGTTCTAATTGTTATTTTTGGTTATAGGGTTTGGTTGACTTGAACAAGCCTCCTGAGATGATATCTGGCAATATGACAGCCGGTAGGTCAAATACTCAGCAATTTGTCTCGCAGTTCACAATTCCTATTTGATGAACAGATCGAACTATCACTAATGCCTATGGTTTTCTGCAGCCATGTGTGTGTATTCTGGGCTCTTTATGAGGTTCGCGTGGATGGTACAGCCCCGGAACTACTTGCTTCTGGCATGCCATGCCTCCAACGAAACCGTTCAGCTCTATCATTTATCTCGCTGTGCTAGGGCTCAGGGGTAAGATCTAAGCTATGTGCAGTAAAATTGTTCCCACTTCCTACCATAGTCGCAATCACCTAAACTTTACCAGATAAATGGCTTTATATTTTGCTTTTATCCCCAATCGGATCGATCAAACTCTTATGTGTTGCAGCAATGTAGCATGGTACGTGATGATAACGATGTCTGCGTTTGGATTTGGCAGGTATCTGGATTCCAAGAAAGAGCCGGAGGCCCAACAGTAAAGGGTGTGGTGTTTCTGAAGTCGGAGGAGCCTTGATTCCGCAGCCAGTCTTTCAATAAGTAAAATTTGTTTCTGAAGCTTTGCAATGCCCTTCATGAGAAAAAAAACCCTATAAAGTGGAAATTTCTATTTCTATGATACTCATGCCTGCAATGTAGCATTACAGCTGTCTTGTTCCTGAATCATGGTACATGACATATTTTTTCTTCTCAATGCACATAGCCGGGGTTAAGTTATCGACCCCGGAGCCACTCCTTGATTTTACTGTTGATTTCCACCACGTCCATAGTATCTTGTGCCTTGCCCCCGCCACAAAGTTGTGTACACCACAGCGAGAGTGGCGATATGGTGGACGAGCTCGCCTGCTCCTGCTTTGTGGACCAATGGGACAGCGCGATGCTGGAGATGGCATTTACTGCTCGCAGAAACGCAGGTGAGTTTGCACAGCAGAAAACGCATGCATACGGGTGTGGGGCTGTATGGGGAAACGACGGCCTGGACAGACGCCGTAACGGAGAGCTGACGAAGACGGCAGCGAACATCTGGGTGGGCTGTTCGTGAGTAGTACTCCTATTTTTCTTTCCGTGAGTAAAACAAAGGCTAGCAAGGCACTTCCTCTAATCTAAATCAGAAAAAGCTAGCAACGCACTTTGTAAAACATTTTCACCATGTATTTTAAAAATGTCATCACTCATCTTAGGCAATGCTCAACACATAGAAAGATATTTGACATGTCTCCAAAAAATGTTCAGTTTGTGTTTAAAACTATTCATCGTGTATTTTAAAATATTCAAGTTGACAAATGTTCAACATGTGTCCGGGAAAAAAATAGAGTGTTCTTTTTTTTGCAGGAAAAAAATGTTAACCTCTATTTTAAAAATGGGGAAAATATATTTGGAAAAAAATGTCAACATGTAATTTACAATGGTAAAAAGAATAAGAAAAAAGGAGAAGAAAAAACGGGTCGGGATGGCGGAGGCAACGACTTCTTCACCGCATGGATCTCGGGGCCCTCTAACCCTTTGCCCTAGTCCAGTGGGGGTCCCACCAGCTTTTGGCTGGCAGCCCCGCGTTCCATGCTAAGTGTTGCTCTGTTTTGTGATGGCTCGCGCATGTGTGCGGCGGCCACCCCATCCCAGCTAGGCGGCTGGCTGGGACATGCCAGATCTAGCCTCGCAGGTGGTGGCGCCGATCTATGATCTGTAGTTGTGGATCGTGGTCGACAAGAGCGGCATGTTAGTGCTTGAACAATTCATTGTTTCTTTTATTTTCTAGAATTTGCTTCCATATGAACATGAGATTATTTCAATTTGGTTACTCTATGTTAATGCGGCCATTTATTTATTTATAACATCAGAAAATTTTGCTTCGAATGACCATAAATTGCTCCAATGTAACAATAATAAACTCTTGCAAACAATACAAATATATGATTCAATCAAACATGTATTTACCACTGTTATAATTGTTTCAAGCACATTAAACTGGAACATTTCTTCTAAAGGATTTGGTATTTGCATAGAAAGAAATGGGAATGTACTTCCTAACAATTTGGAACTAGCATCTAAAAAAACTGAGATTTGCTTCCCTATAACAAATACAATGCATATGATCAGGTTTTACACGGCCCGGACTACAATGCAGATACCATACTTCCAAAGATATGCAAATTTTGCTTCTAAATCATGGCTAAGAATTTCAGAGAAGTTTAGAGCATCTATAGCCAGACTCCTCAAATTAATCGGGCAGGTACGGGGACCACCGACCGGACAGAAGAAAGAAGCAAAAAGTTGACTCAACCGAACCCCTCATATCACCCCTATACATCTGGGTTGTCCGCGAACCCTTATATCCATCTCAAATATGGCGAGGATATGAGGGCTCGCGGACGCGCCCGGGCGTGCCCGGTCAGTTCACCACGTAGAACGTGTCCCCATCCCGGACTACCTTTCTCTCTCTCTCTCTCTCTCTCTCTCTCTCTCTCTCTCTTCATCTTCACCAATCACATGCAAGTCACCGAACATATGAGGAAGAAAATGAGGACAGTAACTGCACGAATGGATAAATAGGGGTTCAAAACGGACACGCTCCGTCACTGACCGTGCGCGTCCACGTACGTTTAAGGGGTCATATTTGCTATGTCCAGCTGTAGATGCTCTTACAACACTCGATGAGAACTTTGCTTCTAAAGTACTTCCTCCATTTTTATTTACTCTGTATATTCGTTTTGGTCAAAGTTAGACTTTGTAAACTTCAACAAAGTTTATAGAAAAAGTATTAACATATACATTAACAAATAAATACGATGAGATTCATTATACAATACACTTTCACATCATATAGATTTTTTATTGTAAATATTCATATTGTTTTCTATACGCTTAATCAAACTTTATAAAGTTTGACTTCAGTCAAATATAATATGCAAAGTAAATAAACTCAAAGGAAGTAATATTGTTTATGGTTACCCCATACACGGACGTGAAACTATAGTTGCGTGCAGATGGACAAGAGTGTAAGTGCAGTTACTCACAGTGCGGAAAAAGATTTTAAAAAATAAATAAAAAATAAAAAGCAATTGGATGAGCAACTGCAGTTGCGCGTGATCGATTGACATGCAGTTGTGCGCCCACACGTTGACGTGCAACTTCATTTGGTCACGCGGACGGCTTATTGTGCAGAATAGGGATAAAATAAAAATGAAAGTCAAAATAACTAATAAAATATAAATCAATCAAATGAAAAAAAAGGTAAAATCTTCAGGCCAAAACGCATAGGAGTAAGATTGACTTTGGTACTTCTCTTCTACCACAATGCGGACTTTGGTACCTCCGTCCTGGTTTATTGATTTCTTTTGTAATTTGTGTCAAATTCTGATTAAAGACTTAAATAACAAAATGTTAATGCATGTCAATAAAAATTATATCGTTGAATTTGTATTTGAACATAGTTTTCAATGATATATTTTTTTGTGACATGCATGAATATTTTATTAGTTAAATCTATGGTCAAAATTTAGCATAAAATACAATGAGGACCAATAAATCAGGACAGAGATAGTTGGTAAGAATTAGTAAATCTTGTTTTAAATTACGTCAGGATATATTTTCACGGTAATGAAGATTTGTTTATGATTTACGAAGCACTGCACCATCAATGGGAAAAAGAACAATAAAATCATGCTGCCCGCCATTCATCTGGAATGAATTTAGGAGTACATGCAACTCAAAAATATCAAGTTCCAAGCTAATGCATCAATCGGGACTTCAGTCACCTACCTGAGCAACTCCCTCATAAATTACCTTTTTACCAGAGCATCTTTCCGTGTGGGCCGAAGGTACTTGATGGCACTAGTCACCTGTACCGGGACGGGCTCAGACGGCCATGCACTATTCGATGGGCCTCGTGACTGCAATGTGTAGCTGAAAATACGACGGCCTGCTCAGATCCAGAGAAGAACACGCAGCAGGGATAACGTGTGTAGGCGAGGACGAGCGCTCCTTTGAATTATCGACACCACAGCCGCGTTCTTTGCAGTTTTGGACGACCCCCCTCAGTTCCATTTGTTTATCAAGGGTATCTACAGTGCATGGGATATCCAGCGGATCTACTTTTTGTCGTTGCTTTGAGATTCATGCTATGTTTCTTTGGTTGTGGCCAGCAGATCTACCTTTTGTCGTTGCTTTGAGATTCATGCTATGTTTTTTTGGTTGTGGCTAAAATTTGTCTTTTTTCATACGTGTTGCATAATGTTTCATTGTTTTTTTCCTTGTTTGAAAGTGTATCATCATAATGTTTTGATCGTGGATGTTAGAATATACTGTACGTAATTGGATTGTCGAATAAAGTACGCCCTCTTAAAAAAATATAAGAGCGTTTAGACTGTACTAAAGAGGGAGTAGATGCGAGGGATGATACTTACTAGGAAAGTCTTTCTAGAGATTTTAATATAGACTACAAACGAAGCAAAATGAGTGAATCTACACTCTAAACTATGTTTATGGGACATTTTTTTGGACGGCTTAAAAAATAATCTGCCTCTCCCAGCTTAAAAAAATAAGCAACCCTCTAGATTCGTTGTGACTTCTGTGAATAAGAGAAGCGACTTATGAGAAAAGTTGAGAAGGTGGTGGCTTATTATTTAAGCTATCAAAAGAACTGGCCCTATATACATTCGTATGTATCCTATATTAAAATCTTTGAAAAGACTTTCCGTCAAAAAATAAAATTTTTAGAAAAACTTATATTTAGAAACGAAGGGAGTAATTAGGTTCATTGAACATCTACTACCTATCCGGGGCACGGCAGTGGGCCTCCTTTTCATGTACTAAATCAGACATAGTACAGATCGGCAATAGGCTATCCGAGGCCCTCAAACACATCTCGACCGTCACTCTGTATTGCCCCCATTGTGATTGTGATCTCGTGTCTAAGAGCATCTATAATCAGACACTTGTATTGCCCTGTTGTAATCCCGTGTCTAAGAGTATCTATAATCGGACTTTGCAAATCGGCCTCTCAAGCGGACGCGCTCGGGCACATCGGCGAACACTGACCGATTAAGTCTTCAATTTGCCTTCTCATAATCGGATACCTTAATTATCATATCTCATACATACGAACTCATGCAACTACGTCGATACATTACACACATCGTCTGGCTACTCCATCACTACTATCATGTATCGAACTACCAAAATTTAGCATGTTTGGCTATGGTGGACATTATCCACGGCTGCCCTTGCCCTTCCCGGCGACCTTGCCGTTATTCTCGCGGAAGTACCAGTCGAATCTACTTGTCGCCAGGGCTGTCCTCGCTGTTGCTGTCCTTCTTCTTCTCCTTCAGTGGTAGTCCGACCATGACACGGGCCGTCCGATTCTGCTCTCGGGCGAGGCCACGCGTGTTTCTTCGCTGCCGTTTCTTCACAATGCGGGCGCGGATGGCTTCCTCCTCTGTGGCAGCCCGTCGTCGTCATTTCCGCCACGATACGGGCCTCGGCG